CTTGGCAACTTTTTTTTTCGGTATGTTTTTTTCAAACGGCCATGACTCATCTCCAAATGAATGTAGGAACCTAAAACCATACATTTTCAGAAAGAGCATGAAATGAACTTTCTTTTAGTTTTTTTTTTTCGACTCTGTACCCCAAACCGTTAAGAAGATATTCACATTTTTATACAGGGGCAAAAACTTTTGGCCCACCCTGTATACTGACATAGGTACCTAACCTTTTATTTATGAATTTAGTCCGCATACTGAAATAGAAACTATACATGTGATATTAGTACTTATTGCCCATCCTGTTGCCTACGTATGAATCTTTAGTTTTATTTTAAATATAACTTTCCAACGTGGATCAGCCCCCAAGAAGCTATAATCTATAAAACAGTCGAAGAAATCGGAGAAGGCTACGTGTAGGGATATGGCACGTTTTCTTTCCATAAACCAAACTTCGTCTTTTACATGTAGTCCTGATGTCGGAGAGATGATCTCGGCCTAATTGGTAGCACGACTCATCTTGAACATGTTTTGATAGGTCATACCGCCTCAAAAAGATCTCAGGTTAGATCGCTTATCAAAGCCGATGGATGGCAGATAATTTCATGCATAAATGCTGGATTGCCATCGGTATATTCCCAGACGGAGCGAGGTGGTTTTCCGTTGCCCATAAGCATGGGCGAAATTCCTCCGATGAGGGTGGCCAGGATGCATATCAGGACGACGGGACTTGAGCCACAAATCGGGCCATTTTAGTCAATTGGAACATGAAAGAGGCCGAAATGCTTTCGCTACCAGATATTCACAACTGGTGTTTGCGAGAACAGTTGGTTCTCGACTTAACCTAAAGCTACAGAAAGGAATTTGGTCCATTTATTAAATATTAGCAGGAAGCGTCCACGTCTGGCATTGCCGTTAATTTGTCAACATTCCACTTTGGCTCGGAAGGTGGAAGGAGGATCGTTCAACTTCCAACCTGACTCCGTAGTATGCCTACTGGACGAGCACTTAACAGTGCACATCATCCCCAGCAAGCAGTGTATTAGTACATACGAGTATCAACAAGTACTATCATTTTATTTATGGCACATACTGTCAGAATGAAATCAGTCTATTAAAGCAAGTGTTTTCAAGAAAGCAGAGCCTGGCATGAATGAAAGGACAGTAGAGTACCAAGCTGAAGGCACCAAAATCATCGCACGACGATTGCATCATTTCTTCGGGTTGTAAGCCCACTTATGGCTAAGAGCCATAAGAACTCGTTCATGTGACACGTTCATAGCGTTAGCTGTATCTAAAATACGTACGATGAAGGTTATGACGGAAATACTTTCGGTATCAAATCACGAATCTTGAACATATTGCTTGATTCGTCGTTCCGCCCACGGAGAGAGCAGATTAGATTGATGAAGGAAAAAAATTCCTTCGTTAAATTCGTTAATGCTGAATGTTCATCGGAATCTTCACTTGCGGAGCAGGATGCTATTTCATTGCCAAAAGGTACAGGGTGTTTCCGAGAAGGCGAACACAATTCTTGTAATTTCATTTTTCTCGACTGTAATGGGAAACTCCAATGGTTTTGGACAAATAGCCAATGGGTTTGTGGAGAAAATAAATATTTTTCGTTCTCAAATTTTTCATCGTTAATTATTTTTTTCTTTACAAATCTTTAGCATTGACGCACTCTCGCGCACTGACGAAAACATGGTGCATCATCGTACGCAAAGTTTCTCCCCTTACAGCTTTCCTCCTGATTCCGGACCTTCATTTATTCTTCATTGCGAGATCTTTGAGAGTCCACTTTAGGCTTTAGTAGGTACCCCCCATGAGAAAAGCCTGGAGCCGTGAGGACTGGTGATCTTAGGGGCCAGTCTCCATTACCAAATACAGGTGACTCTTGTTATATGCGGAGGTTGCGTTCCCGAGAATCGCCGCGTATATCGAAGACGCGTAAAACCGGAGGCTAATGGGATAGTGGGTAGCTATAGGGATAGTGATAGTCTCCATGCACCGAAATGAAACCGCGGATATGCGAAAACGCGGGTAACGAAAGCCACCTGTAGTGGGATAACTTTTCCTGGGTAGTGCTGCTGAAGGAAGTTCATGCAGATGCGGGATGTGTAGCTAGCATGAAGTAAACGTTTTCAAGGGTAATTCCGGTACGTTGGATATCTGGAAGAAAGAAATTCTTTAATATGTCTAAATAGCGCTTGGCCGACTCAAAGTGCAGCCATCTTCAAAAAAAGTAAGGCCCAAATGCAATTTCAGACGATATCGCCGCCCATGCAGTAACTTTACCTGGATGCCATGTATTCTGATTAAAAGGTTTTTCATAACTCCAGCATCGACAGTTCCGATTCTTTACATATCAAAGGTGAAATGAGCTTCGTTTGACTTGAAGAAATCCTCATATCACGGTTGGGCAATGCTCTACCTGCAACATATAGGGAAAGCTGCAAATCCCGTTCAAAAATTTGTGTGTCGATTTCGCGCCTGTACTGACTTCCAGCGAGAGGCGACGAACTGGCCTGGAAAGACTGCGTCGAATTCCCGCTGTAACTGCAGCTATAGTTTCTGGTGTTTGTGCTGTTCGCATTCGCCCTTTGCGTTTTTGCGTCACCCACATACCCTAATTCACGGTAATTTTTGACGTACTGCAACATTGAGTTGCGGAATAAAGCCTCTCTGATTCCTAAATCACTTAGAAACGCACGTTGTGCTTCCACAATGAAGCCTGACAAAAAATTTTCCAAAATATCGTACGGTAACGAATTTGCCACTCTCTATGGTAGATAAAACAACGTGCCTGACAGAACATTAACCTACTAAAAGATTTGAGATTGAAACAAGCACGGATGACTATTGTTAGCATTCATGATTGTCCAAGGAGCAATACAGCAATGGATTCGCCATCGCGACTCGATGGGCAGGTCCCGAGGGAGTGCCATGCCCGATACCATCATCAAAGGACATACTTCTGCTGATATCTTCGACTATGTACAGTATGTCGATCTGAACAGCGTCCAGGGACTTGAAGACCTTCGTGCCCCAAAAGGTTTGCGTGCGTTGGATTCCTTATCCAGCACGAATAATTGATCTGCTACGAGGGACAACGTCCCATTTCAGGAAGAACTGTCACCCGTCCGTCATCTCTACCTCTTCACCTACTCTTAAACTCTTCTTGTTGCTTCCTTCACTCAAGAACTTCGAAATGAAGGCAATGACTAATCTTCTTTCATTTCAATCCAAACGCAAGGAAATGATTTTGCCCATTCGTAAGTCATCGAAGGTTCGAATTCGATGTAAACCTAACTTAAGTTTTATTTTCAGCGAAGTCCGAGTGTGCAATCTTGCCTGATTTCATGTCCTGCTCGTGTTTTACATAACCACACACGACTGTATACATATAAATACAAAGTAGAGTTGATGCACACAGGTGTTAATGGTTCGGACTTAGGTAGCAGAGATTTTTGCCGCGTATACGTATTTAATCGCGAAAAAAAATTGTTACGTCACCCAGAATACTTCCCGTAGCACAAGCAGGAATCTGTTAATAGGCGTTTCATTCTGAGCGGAGGAAGGAAAAGATGGTAAGTCATCCATTCTCTTCATGAATACATGGTGTCTCAAAAAATGTATACACACTCGAATCAAGAGTGATTCTGGAAATCTGAGAACACGTGAAGTGCAAAGAAGGTGGAGAAATGAAGTTGCAACTATGCCACTATAATGTACTAGATCTTTCAAGGATTCAAGATAAGTTTGATGCTGATGTTACAGTGAATGGTCTCCAAGAACATTGCTAGTACGGTAATGCACAATGTTTTGATAGACCTCACACATCAACAGGTATGGAAAATGCTGATGTTGCAATGCAAGCATTCACACGATCACATGAATTTGAGGAGTCCTGTGCTGCTACCCCAGCAGAAACCTGTCCACAAGTTTGTTGCACTGTTGTTCACTGCTGTCAACAGTGCTTGGATGCTAACAGTGAACGATTTGAACATCTGTGGCAGTGAGCCATGCATTTCAAACTCTCTCCGCATACTGAACATTGTACCTCTCTGAATTACTTAACATATATTTTTTATATTAAAGTATGTAAGTATTTTTTTGAGACACCCCGTATGTTCATATCACTATAGCTACATAGTAAACTCTGGCATCTGCAAGATAAAGGAGAAAACGGTTTCCCCAATCAGGTCAATTATTTACCCTATATCTCATTGTTATCATGCCAAAATCTGTCGATCTATTTCGTCGTTGCTACCTAATGCAAAATGGGCTACCCTGACAGTCTTCCGCTACGATGGTGGAACGAAGCCGAGAGAGCACGCCAACCCACCATTACTTTCTGTTGCACGAACTGTGACAGGGATCGGTATTGGATGACTTTGTGTCACGGAGGGGGGGAATAGGGAAACAAGGGAAAGAATGGATAATCTTAAATTCTAACGTCATTATCATATCGACATATCTGTAGGACAAACTCTACCATCTGCTAGGCTGGCAGATAGAGATCTTCCAAACTGATTACGTCATTTATCCGATTCCTTCATGGCCTTGTTGTAGCAACGCTTCCCGCTAGATGTGATCGTTGCCAATTGATGCGTGCACGGATGTCCCGGTCCACAGAAGTATGTCAGGACGATGAAGCGTGGGTGGTTCCGGAGGAAAAAGCTGGCTTCGCTGTCTCGGTTTCCCGGGGAAACACAGCTTCCATGAAAATGACTCGTCATGAATCTTCAATAAAAAAAGTATTCACTGGGATAGAAATCCTTCGAAGGTGGCAGGTGGACTGCCAGCAGACGAATCGACCCGAGGGGCGTATTACGGGACGAGTCAGGACTCTAGGCTCACGAGCTTATCCATTAAAGCCAAATAACGTTGAATTTGTCTGTAACTTGAAAATATCAGCTAATTAGTCCATTTAAGGATACTAAACGGTGGGGAGACCATGGTCGAGACGGATGCTTAAAACTGTGTTTTTCACCCTGTAGAGGCTTTTGCAATAATTCCAGCTCCCATTCTTCAGTAGGTCATGGCAAAACTCGCCTAACGAGATCGGCAACGAAACGGAAAAGTGATATTTTAACTAAATTTCGATTTTTGCCTTTTAATGGGCCCTAGTCAATGGGACTTCATCAGCGCTCTTTCGCAGATGAGTCCCTGCAATTCCAGATAGTATCCTTTTAGCGAGGAAATTCAGAGGATACTTGGTTATTGATAGAGAGACGTGATCACAATACTTCGTATTGTGATCACGTCTTTCTACCTATCTATCTATTTCCATGATCAAGGACCTTAACATTAGAACTGTAAATTTTTTCAGTCGATCCTGAGCACACACGTGTCATCTCCAACGATTTTGTTATTTTTATTCATTTATATATCGTCTGCTTACTCTCGCAGCTATATTGTACAACTTGACATATTAGTCATTAATGAAAGCTAAAAAAAAATAATGAGAATTTCCTCATCTTCTATCCATTTTAATTAGACATATCTAAATCCAGAGTCCCATAATTAATTTCCTAAATTGCCTCTGCTCGACTCACAAGACTCGCTCAATGATAGCAACTGAAGAGGGAGGTGGCGATCTCGGCTTTCCACCACTCAGGGCCCTTTTTTCATACCATAAACATGGTTTCTAGGAAACCGAGTGGTGGGAGGGGGGAATTGCCTTGGAACATACATGCAGTGGTTGCCTGGATTTAGGACCAGTTTCCCTGCCGCTCCGACGTCGTGAAGGTGAGTTCCCCCGTTTTCATTAGGTTCCACTTCGTCGTAGTGTTCAGGATCTCAAGTTGTTTGGATGGAGACCATTCGGAAATCTATCGTTAACGTCGTTTGGACTCGAAAAACAATAGCTTGATACGCAACAACGACCATAGAAACCCTAAATAACTCTCCATATGCGCGATCGAAATGTTCCTTGTTGCGCGGTTAGCCCTCGGAAAAAGGAACTACCCAGCAAATTATTGCAAGAAACATCGGCATCCAAAATTCCTCATTGGAAGAAAGTTACAACAATCTCCTTGGAATCCACTTTCCATGGAATGAAGTACAAAAACTTTCAAATAGGAGAAAACGTATGCATGATACTCCCCCCTCCTCTTTCCACCGGTTCCTATAGAAACTGTTGGAAAGATGAGGGAGTATCATTGGAACATTTACTCGGTTAAGATAAGAGAGAAAGAATATTGTCCTGAAGGGTTATTCGTTTTTTTTTATACCATAGTTCTCACTTTTTTTGCAATTTATAACCATCTTTCAACTAGCTCTTCGCTAGCAGAAATAGAAATACCCTCTTTCCCAGGACACCTATATGTCTTCGCATCTAACAAAGTAGCACTTCGCTACTAGTGAATCAATTGTAATCATATGATTGTGGGTGAATGAAAGTCATAAAGACGGATACTAATTCCTAGTACGCTTTAGATAAGAAAAAAGCTGAAATATGGTGCACGAAGTTGTTGTTTGATGCTAGGTGCTAAGCTCAAGGAGATGCCTACTTTTTGGGTGAAATCTCATGGGAGCAGGATTTGTAGACATAATATTCCGACATTTGGACATAATATTCCGACATTTGGACATAATATTCCGAAACTTTTTCGTTCTACCGAAACGCCATATATGGTGCAGGTGAATTTTGGCAAACAAATATTGGATTATTGGAAAACTAAGCCACATCCGCGAGACATAATATTCCGACATTTGGACATAATATTCCGAAACTTTTTCGTTCTACCGAAACGCCATATATGGTGCAGGTGAATTTTGGCAAACAAATATTGGATTATTGGAAAACTAAGCCACATCCGCGTCCCACGGGATTGTTTAACCAGGTGAAAAAATGTAAACAAACATAAAGAACTCATGTTTAACTATTTTATTATTAGCAGTAACAGAAAATATAAATAGAGTAGTAGGCAAACAGAAAACGTATATGTTTGCAATGGAAAATACAAAAATGTCCATCTTCAATTACAAAACTTCCTTTAGAGAAAGTTCTAAGTGTATGTGGTCTCATCACAAGGGAAATTCCCTTGGAAGTCCTTATTCAAGACTAACACTTTAACATAAGATTAACTAAGGACACAGCAGAAAGGCAACGTACAGTTCACCATCGCTGAAAGCTGGAGTCGATTGATGGAAGTTGATCTTGTAAAAAGTTTTCACCTGTGCCTAATTGATGGTCATAATGAAGGCCATCCTAATAGGAAACTGCCTCCTGGGGAACGTAAAGGGTACCCGAATAATCAGAGGGCGTCGTTTTTTTCGTAGACAGTTTAGTTCGAGTCCAAGAGAAGAGCACCCGAGAAAAAGAGACGTAAACTCTTCGAGGGCTGAGGAGCAACTGAAGAGGCTGCTGCGCAGTCCAATCCAAGAAAGAGCACTAAGGAAGTAGCATCGGGGGAAAAAATGAAATTTTAAATTCATTATTAAAATAGTGTGTTACTTTTTATGTAAGCCTACAGACCATGACAGTTAACACGTGGTCACTCGCCTTCGCATGACCTCTTCATAATGATTATGTAGGTAATTCGGTTAACTGCGTATTATAATGTATACTAGACCACAACCCCCGTCCCGCGAGATCCGCTTCACGAGTTACACAATTTCAACTGGCATAAAATAACTCAGGGTTAATTTTTAAATAGTTGAAAGAGAAATTACAATAAAAGATTGCGTTCGAATTTCGCAGTGCCACGCTTTGAGTCAATAATATGGTATGCGTTACGTCATCAAAAGAACTCTCAACTGCATGTACGCACAGTCTCAGTGATTTTCGCCTCGTAGCATTCAAGTGAGACACGTCGTTTAAATTTCAAACACGCAGACATAAGATGAAGTATGATTTTGAGCCATGCATGGGATGCGCATCAGCTCTATTGAGGCGACCCGACCCGCGGATCGGGCGTGGAGCTCGGTCCGCAATAATTTTCTTGATGGGTGTAGGCGAATAAGCTATCAGAGGGTCTATTTCTCCAGCCGCTTACAGAAGCTGGCGGAACGTAGTGACCTATGGAGCACAACACAGGCTAGCACGATTGTGACGTCATGGAATAGCTGCAAGAGTTGGCAGGGCCAGCAGAGTCGCTTAGAAAAGGGACGAACCAAGAGACTTCGAGTTCTGAAGTTTAGAGCCCTAAGCGGGCTGCGGGCCGATCCTATCGGCTCGACACAACCCGCGGATGGAGTCGGCAAAGCTCGGTCCCGTAATCGAGTCTCGGGTCGAGTAGGGCCACGATTCGAACCGGGCCGATTGAGTGGAGTTCGAAGAAGTTGACCCGTGCATACCTGCGGCGGACAGACGGAGGACGTTGGCTATTACTTCGGTATCACATAGATAGATGACACCCGCGTTCCGCAGGACATGCTTCGCGGGTGACAATTCGGGTTGGGATGACTTCCAAGGTGGACTACCTGCAGAATGTTGCAAGAGATATATCACATGAAGATACTGTATGATTAGATTACATTGATACATTTTTCAGCTGAGAGAGTTAAGGTGTGAGTATGTCATATTAATATGTTAATATATTGGTTACGTTTGACGTAGGCATTCTGAAGCAATTATGTGCACTCGGCCCAGGCCAATGCGTCTGCCAGTTGTGTTATCATCTTCGCAGGCATGCGCACTGTATTCTAGTCAGGTATTTTTACGCCCTTCTGGTCTAGTCTTCGGTGCTCTGGTGAGACCTTTCATGGCACTAGCACGGTTAGTGGACTTCAAGGATTTTTTCCCATTTCGGTGTCAAAGGCCAAAGAGTGGGAAAGTCAGCCTATTTTGGGAAATAATGGGTCAGTTGGGTAAGGAAAGGGTTCCGGCCTTCGGTCGCGATTATGTTAAAAACAACTTACCCATCGTCCCCCAAATTAGGTTCACTTTCTCGCTCATTTCGGCCAAACATAAACACTGCAGCTCGCTTGATCTGTGTTCATCCTATCTTCTCTGAGGTTATTTTTTTTGGAATTATAGTGAAAAACCAAAATCATTGGTGAAATAGACTGAGTGTCTAGCATCCAGGTGATTTAGTTATTCTTTAGAGGAATACAGGGCATAAGGCTCTCCTTTCAATGAAAACAGACACTCTCACCATCCGTTCAACGCGGTTACCCCCGTGTTGAACGCGCTTGCGCACGGACCTCCATCCTAGCTCAACCTACAACCCACTTTTCTTAGCATTAAAATTACTGCTTCTGGTTTTTTTCAACATTCTCAGATTAAATATGCACCAACGCAATCGTCTAAACAAGAGCTTGCGATTGACATATCACAGGTACCACTTCGGAAATCTTTTCCTTCAGGATAGTTTTTAAATAGCAGTAAGAGAAATTTAATTAATAATCAGATGTAATGAACGTAATGAATCTCTATTCAAGAGACTGAGTAGTCTGATCAAAAAGAGATAGCACTAAAGAAGTAGCTTCGGGAAAAAAGCTTATTAACTTTTAATTAATAAATCAATAAACATGTTATATTTTTGTGCAAGCCTACAGACCGTGATAATTAATGAGACCACTCTCACCTTCCTACGACCTCTCCTTCATAATTACATGATTCGGTTAACTGCTTAATATATATGTAGCTTCCTCCATTTGGTGTACATCCCCTCGGAATAGGGAGAGGGGGGGGGGTGGATCCCACAAATATTTTCCCAATAGTGGTCTTAACAATGGCGTTACAAAAGGTACTGTGTTTCCAGTATTTCCGTTTCCCTGAAATTTGAAGAGCGATTTTTCGAGAAGGGGGCCAAACGTTCCACCCACCAGCCCCCCCTCCAAAGAAAAAAACTAAGAATTGATTCCTTCTTTCTTCTGCAAGAGGTACTGCGTAAAATGACAGAGCCTTCTCGAGGCATAAGTTACTCACCCCTCACAGCTCGGATGTTTTAATGGTAGTCGTATACACAAAACGACCAGCGGATGTCTATATGACAGGGATTTTGTCCGATGAACTCCTCCTGAGTTTCCCATCTGATTTCCCCCAACAATACCTCATTCGATTTGTAATTTCCTGCAGATGGTCCAACTCATAAAACCAATTTTTTTTTTAGTTGACCTTTGACCTGACTCATGACCTTCCGCATTAATTTCTAGCCAGAGAGCAATTCCAAAACCCTCGGACACTTTGCTATAATTTCTTTTCACNACTTTCCAACATAACGCATAGTTCATGTGACTGTTTCTTATAGAATGAAATTCAGCATTAAAAATATTTTGATAACGAATTGTATCACTCCGTTGTGATTCCATCTCTTGGGGCGAGAAACTTATGCTCACACTCAGTATCGTGATGATACCCAAAAGGGCCTTCAGGGACCCTATTTCTCCTTATCACGTGGATGCCCTAGTGAGGTTATTTTTGGTAACTTCAAGCGAATTAGGCGGCGCATTTCGAATTGTCATCGACTCTCCAGACGCCGGAAGTCCCTAAATGTAACATCGGAATAGTCCTGCTATACGACGGGGGAACGATAAGTAAGAAAAATGTTTGTATGTATTTCACAATTGCACAATATATGGGGTGAAATTGGACCACACTTGGCTAGAAATATTATGCACCTGACGAGGTCGTTACTGTTGCAGGACCACTACCGTAATATCATTTGCAGTACTTTGAGGATGGCAGCACTTCGGAAAAAACAGGGCTTGATGATAAGATTTTTGAACTTGGAAGGCGTGAAAGGAACCAAAATTGGTGCCTGTAAGTTGAGGCAATACGATGGCAGGTGCATGACGCGGAGTGCTGCTTATGAGATGTTTGAACAGTTGAAGAAAGGTCGAACAACTGTCGCGAGCAAACAACGTGCAGGCTGGCCTGTGAAAGCGTCAACAGATGCAGCCACTGCGCACGTTCAAGGACTAGTTTTTGAGGATAGCCGAGCAGGAATGAAAGCTATAGTGCATTGTGTGGGTGTTAGCCATGGCCCTGGCACTCCATGAATCGTTACTTGTTCATGAACGCTGTTTGTTGCTGTCCAACAGAGTAATTCCTCAGGACGATACAATGGAGCCCTACAGAGCACAAGTAACGATTGCAACTTTTTTGGCTTTGAGCCGGACTGTTCATAACAATCCCCAGTACAGCGCAGTCCTGGCATAGTCGGACTTCCATCTACTCCATGCTACAGAAGATCACCTCAGATGTAGGCGATTCCATTATGACGATGACGGTGCCATCGGTTGCAGGCGCCATTCAACCCAAAACCTTGTTCGAATTAGGGATTCGCAAACTTGGGACTCGTTGGGATAAGTGCATGGAACTTGGGTGAGACAATGTTTAAAAACAATAAAATCTCCAGATCCGTGAGTGTTCTTTTCTTAGAATGAAAAGTTATATACCTTAGTAATTGTTACACCCTTATATATTTAAATTTCCTTTGTAATATGCATTCCTAAGGAAATAATTTGACATATTGATGCAAAGAATACATCCTTCTGAGCACTTACATATGAATTTTGAGCAGAATGAAATTAAATTTAATTGGCTCTGTTTGAAATTTGATTTGAACTAGAGCTATTAATAGAATGACATGCCATGAGTTGATTTTCTACATCCCACATCATTGTTAAGAACTTCGAATGCATGACGTGCGCTCGTTTCAACAGATCCGGTTTATACTTGGAATGTAAGGATCCTCAAGGAATTGCATCGGAAGTCTCGTGGAGATTACGTCCTTCTTGGAGGACATGGGCCTTTGGCACAAGTTCATTATGACATTGGAAAGGATGAAGCAAGACGTGAGTCGTGAGGGTCAAAATAAAGAATTTCAAGTCTTTCCTTGTCAGCTTTTTCTTTTTAGTTGCATTCATGTTTTTAATTTATTAACCTTTCTCTTTCCTCATTATTATTTATGGAATATGTTCTTGTCCTCACTGTGAATGAGAGACTTCAAAGTCCTCTCGTTTTTTTTTAAAGTTACGTTCCGGAATCCGCGTTTCTGCTTGTCTAACTCAGAAAACAATTAAAATAGGAATATAATTGAGTTTCTGGACATGTTGAGGAGCAGATGGGATAGTTCGAATGGTGAAGGAACGAGCGAACTTCATTATTTTAAAATTAAACTGATTATAATGTATATGAAAATCTAAGAAATGAAGCTATTCCCTCTTGGCACCTCACTTAAAAGAAAAGTACTGGAGAAAGTCTAATGTAAGGCATACAATACATATTGCCATCTGTGAAAGACACGTTCATTTCCCAGATCCGCTTCCTCTTCTTACTACTGATGTGTTCTCGAGGGACCGCATTGGATGTGGATATCACAGGGAAAATGTTCACACAACTCGCTGATACGAATGCAACGATCCAAAATCCCCTCCTCACCAGCACCGGCGTGGATGTCTTCACTTGTGCCGATTCATGCACTAGGTAAAGTTTCATCAAATGAATATCACTGTTCGTGAAACATACTATTTTCTTTTCGTCATTTGCTATCGAAGGGATCCCCAATGCAAGCTTTTTTCCTTGGAGACGAGACCCACCACTACCACCTGTCAATTGGGAGGCAATGCGTCCATTCTTCAGGCTAATCCCGCTGGAATGTCCTCTTCCATTTATTATGATGGTAAACATCTAATGCAAAATCTTTCCGTTGTTAATGCGGATGAATAAGTTCTTTTTATTTCATTCCCCATTTTTATGGCTCTGATCGTCGAAAATGTCCTGTTATGTATATTTGCATAGTCGTATGTCAATCATCGCCAAAAGCAGAATTTCCAAAGGTTAATCTAAGGATTCCGGAAATACATTTCCGAGGCTCCTGTCTACGAAATGTACATCGATGATTTCCAGAAACGACATCGTAGTTGTCTCATTTGCGATAGGATACATTTAGATCAATCCACATCGGCAGTTCCCGATACATACTCTCATTGTACCTTGCAGACGCACTCGTCCCAAAAGACTACACCTTCGCGATGATCACCAATAAGATCCACTTCATCAAGTTCCCTAATGTGATCCAGAACTACACCACGGCGCGAGCGACTTGCACGGCGGACGGCATGGGACAACTGATCATGGACGACAAGGGTGAAGCGTGGCACAACTGGATCTGGCAGTACGTCTACCCTAAGATGGGTGGGACGAATGGAATGTGGTTAGGAATTGATGACTTGCAGCAGGAAGGGGCCTGGAAATGGAATGACGGTGAGAACATACCAAGAAATCCGATCGATGGAGCCATGTGTCCTAAGTCTCACGATGGATTTCGGCTAGTTAGCAGAATCTCGGAACAATAACCA